AACGCTGGCGTTTCAGGGACCTGTGTGCAGTAGCAGGAATTCTTTGTACTGCGTACCTGTTGTCTAAACTGGGTAATTTTTAAAAGATGGGTAGGGAGGGAGGGAGGCAGGCAGGCAGGCCATGACACGTGTGACCAGAGAACAACTTTGCGGAGTCGGTTTTGTTCCCGAGATGGAACTTAGGTCATCACTGTTACATGGCGAACACCTTTATCCACTTTATGCAGCTCACTGGCCCAGCATCGTTAGTTAAGGTAAACAGAAAATGCCAGCTGAGCGTTGTAGGCTAGGGTGCCTTCATGGCCCTGCTCTGGGCAGTGTAGCCCTGGCTGCCCTAGAACTCACTCTGTAGCCCAGGCTGGCCTCAAACTCAGAGACCCATCTGCCTCTGCCTCCCGAGTGCTGGGATTAAAGGTGTGCGCCACCACCGCCCTGTAAGGAGCCCTTTATGCCAGCTTCTGATGGGATCTTTTTAAAAAAGAATTTATTTATTTATTTTGTGCTTGCTACAGCAAGTATATCAGAGGACAGGTCATAGAAGTAGAGGAGAAAACTCTGTCTCCACCGTGTGTGTTTGGGATCCAACTCAGGATATCAGAATTGGCAGCCAGCCATCTTACTGATCACGTGATTCATGGGCATCACACCAGCCTCAACTCTTTATTTCTGAAAATAACTGTGTTGAGTTTTATAAATCTGTCAGTCATAACTATCAATTAAGGTATGTAAGAATTCACATAACCCAGTCTGTGTCTGTGTCTCTTTTCTTACAACAAAAGCTTAATATAACCCGTGGACATCTTTTAGGTGTGTGTGTATCACTACTGCCTCATTCTTTACTGTTTTTTTTTTCTTTTCCTTTCTTTCTTTCTGTAAATGATTCTGCTACTCCTAAAACTCACTGCTGAGGACTGATAGACCACTTAACTGGGGGACTACTCACTGTGTAGCTTGGGCTGCCTGGTAGACACAGACTTGAAGCACTCTCCCAGGCATATTAGCATGCCGTGAGAACCTCTAATGGACACTACTCTCCATGAGAGGCGAGGTGACTGCTCTGGCCACCTTCATTTTTGTGTTCTCAAGGTTTCAGTCCCAAGAGAGAGAGAGATTATTCAGTCACTTAGGGGAGCGTCTGTCCCTTCAGTAATCAGCTGTGGTTGGAGAAGCAAGGGCACAGTGCCCAGACAATGATCCCCCAGTGCCCAGTCTAGAGAAGGACCAGTTGGGCTGCCTTCCCAACCAGCTGCCCCTGACTACTTCCTACCTGGTCTGTCGTGGATGCTCATGGAGCGCATCTTCCCTACCACAGTAAAAAGACCACTGACTGCCGTGAGTCACGTGATCACTGCACGGGTAGCAACAACGTTACAAAACAGTCTGTTGAATGTGTCAGTTTCCAGTCCTAGACCAGAAGAAATGCCCCAGTGGCCCCGCGTCATCGCAGACAAAGCAAGTCCCGGACTCGATCTTGAGTTCACCACGGTGTGAGGACCTCAGCCACACGTGGGCCGCAGAGCCCCCATGCCTGCACAACCCCTGCATGATCTCACCTTTGCTTCTGCCCACTTCCCCCACCATCTGTAGCCCTCTCGGTCCCTGCCACCTGCTGACTTCAGCCCTTTCATCTCTCACCATACTTTGCCCCACTCCCAGGCACTTAGCCTTTCACGAAACTGCCCTGGTGTTCTCTGATATCCGTAGACTACCAGGGATCCACAGTTGTCTGAATCCTTGCATCATCTCACACAGGCTGCCCTGTTCGGCTCCCAGGTCATACCCAGTCTGAATTGCTGGAGACTGTTGGCCTGCCCCTGTGGCAGCTGGATTGGGTGGCTTGTGAATAACAGTTTCTTTATCCCCACATTAATACTGATATCTAGAGTGTATCTTTTTCTGGTCCATGTAACCTCGCTGCCATTTGTACTTTGAAGAGAAAGGTTCTTTTCATCATAATAGCGTTGTGATAAATTGTTAGCTGGGGGGCCAGAGGCTGACATTGAGCAGCGGGGAGTCCCTGCTTCACTTGGCTCTGCGCTCACCCTGACAACATTTTAATACCACATTACTGTAGCCAGAGAGGGCTCTCACTAGGTTTTAATTAAAAGCACAAGGTATTCCCCCCATGGCATAGTCTATCTTCTTTTTCCCCTCCCCCAGCACATCATCCTGTACCATTTAAAATGTTTGGGACTTGGCTAATCCCTATGGATAGAAACCTAGTGGAGCAGGATATTGATTACCAAATATGGTATTGCTGCTAAAGATGCTGGCGGAATGTGGCTTGTATTCTGAGCCTCTGGCCTCCCAATAAGCTGCCAAACAAATTAGGTCATTTTAACTTCTGAGCTTTTTTGCTTTGTTTTGTTTTTGTTAATAAGATGCTGGAACTTTGATTTGGAACATGATGTTGATGTTATTTTAGCTCAAACAAGAGAGGGGTATGAGAAGGAGGCAGGGAGGAGGGAGACTCGGTCCGGCATGTTTCAGGTTGGTTGTGCAAGAAGCGAGCACGTTGATGGTCTTGGTGAATTGTAGAACACGAGTAAGTGAGCTAAAGCATAGAATTCAGATGTTCATCCCCGTGATCTAAGGTTAAATGCTCCAGCGGACTGTTGACAGGACCCAGGAGCCTTTGTTATCAGGCCTTCAGGTTGTTGTAGGCTTGGGATTAAAAAAGATGCTTCCAAAAAAGGTTGGTGGAGTTTAGTGTTGGAGAGGACTCCCTGAAGGGTGGTGGTGGTGGTGGTGGTGCTGCTGCTGCTGCTGCTGCTGCATGTCTGCCATACTTTGGTGTTAATGTGCAAGGCCTCCAGAGGAACACAGTTGCCTCTCAGCAAAGACACTTCTTGAGTTCATATCTGAATATGGAATTTGTTGTGAGGGTAACTGTACTGTTTTTTGTTTTGTTTTTTGTTTGTTTTTTTAAGACAGGGTTTCTCTGTGTAGCTTTGGAGTCTGTCCTGGAACTCACTCTGTAGACCAGGCTGCCCTCAAACTCACAGAGATCTGCCTGCCTCTGCCTCCCGAGTGCTGGGATTAAAGGCGTGCGCCACCACTGCTGCTGGCCTGTTTTGTGGTTTTGTTTTTATTTGCCTTAAAGATAGGATCTCACTCTGTAGCCCAGGCTATCCTTGAACTCATGCTAATAATCCTCTAGCCTCAGCTTCCCCCCAGGTGCTAAGAATACTGATGTGAACCGGTGGTAGTAGGTCTGATAGGGTAAAGTGTGTCTCGGTTGTAGGTTGGTGGGATGGAGGCAAATGCAGCTTCAGATTTGTTTCCTTACGTATGTTCTGGTAATACAATACAGAGGTTTTCCTAAATCAGGACCCCGAAGTTAACTTTGGTTTGTGTTTTTGTTTTGTTTTGTTACTTCACAAAACGGATACTTCCCTTTTTCTCTTTCATTGGTTAGATCAATACAACTACAATTCTTCTTGCCTCTCCCTATGTTCTAGCCTTAATGGTTTTCTTCCCCAAAATAGCTAAATCAGGGATAAGTTCTTCTCCCTCTGGGGCATCTCTGGACCGGGACCCTTTGTTTGCCTGAGGCTGCCTATTCCTCATTCCTGTTCCTATCAGCCACTGTTCCTTGTGTCTTTGGAACTGAACGTGTGAATGAAGTTCAGAGTCACTCATTCTTGTCTACAGAGAATCTTACTAATTTCTTATAGAAACAGCCCTAACTTTCCTCACAGCGAAGGAAGGTGGAAAGTGGTTCAGGGGATGATTTTTTGTGTGTGTGTGTGTGTGTGTGTGTGTGTGTGTGTGTGTGTGTGTGTAGTAAATATATATGTGTGTGTGTGTGTGTGTGTGTGTAGTACTCATAGAAGGAGTTCTCCAAAGATGAGATATTAAAAGAAAAGAAGGGATGTGAGAGACCATCAGGCCCACGGAAATGAAAAGCTTGTGTTCCTGGCATACTCCATTTTTAGGACTGAGACAAACGTGGGGTCTGAATCCGGGGTGCCTTTTTGACACAGATGGTAGTGTCTAGAATTCCTAGCCTTGAATGGTTTTCATTAGACTCTTAGTTTTGCTTGGTAATGGAGACATACTTGACTGAGAAGGTCCTGAAATCTACTTGACATAAATCTTGTAGTTTAAAGTGCCTGGAATCTGCTTTAGTGAAACATGATTTTTATTGTTGCTTTTTCAGGATAGGGTTTCTCTGGGTAGCCCTGGTTGTCCTGGAACTCACTCTGTAGCCCAGGCTGGCCTCGAGCTCAGAGACTACCTGCCTCTGCCTCCTGAGTGCTGGGATTAAAGGCGAGCGCCCCCTCGCTGGGGCTGAAACGTGGTTTTTTTGTAAAAGGTCAACTGCAATGCAATGATGGGGAGTCTTTTGTTTCCTCATACCTTGTAAACCAACCATAAAGGAAATCAGGATTTCACCACTTCAAGCCTAGCGTATTCGTGCAGTAACTGGGATTAAATGAGCATAGTTACATTTAAAATACTGCAGCTGTCTAATTCCTGAGTTCTGAGTATGCAGAGACTTGTATTACCTTTGTAAAACTGAATTGGAGACAGAGTTCTTTCCCTCTATTTATAGGTAAGGACACTAAAAGCACTGAAGAATTTGATTGTTTATAGTGTCATGCAGAGTGCAGCCCGCACAGGATTTCAGGTGTCAGACTCCACTGCTGCCCAGCATGTCCTTCTCTGGGTCGAAGCCATATTTTCCAGTCCCAGTAGCAGCCACCAGTCAAAGTTTTTAAGCTATGTTACGAATTTGCTGGTCTGCATTTTAAAGGGCGGACTGGACAGTGTCCAGGAAGAACAGGGATGTTTGCACATCCATGTAACTGAAGATTCCGGTGGCGAGAGCTAAGTTGGTCTGGCTTTCTGGCCACGCCGTACTGTGGGTTTTCCATGTTCTATGTAAATACGAGAGTGCCTTTGCTGACCTGGTTCCCCGGTAGGCCAGGGTTTACATGTGTGTTGATTTTGTTACCATGCTGGTTTACACCTTCCATTTGTTCTTTTTCCCAAAGGGCATCCGCTTCGATCCTGAAATCCCACAGACACTACGACTAGAATTTGCTAAGGCGAACACGAAGATGGCCAAGAACAAACTCGTAGGGACTCCAAACCCCAGTACTCCTTTGCCCAACACTGTACCTCAGTTCATTGCCAGAGAGCCATGTAAGTTGATCTACTTTTCATTTTGGAAACCACAACACCGGCCAAGAATGGTTGCGAGCTGCTTGTGAGATAACACTGTGGAATGGCAAGCTATCGGTTCTCATTTCCATTCTGGTGACGAAAGAGCCTGTTCTTCTACCTAAGTTCTCAGGACGACACTGTTGATGATTGGCCATTGTAAAAAATGGTTCAGCTTGAACAGAACTGCGCCTTCCAGATAGACTTTCCTTTTCTGGGTTTCCTTGACATGCCATTGGCCCCTGCGAGTGTGTCCCTACTGCCCTCCCTGCCCCGATCCTTGGGAAGAGCAGCTGGTTCTCGGCGTTCGCTTTACTCTGCTGAAGGACATCAGTTCTTTGGCTTCAGAAAAATATTAAAAGTCAAAGAAGCAGATGTGCGGGAGCAAGCCGTCCTGTTTTGAGACCTTCAGGAGAGTAATGAACACAGAGAAAATTTGTAGATCCGGAGCAGTCAGAGCTTAGCACTCTGAGATCAGTAGAGTTTTAGAGAAATTTAGGTTTCCTGTTTTGAATTATTTATGTAAGGACACTGGCTAATTGTTGAGCAAGATTTTTTACCCCACATGAACGAGCTTATGCCTTTAACTGTGCAGACTGTGACTTCTGCCTTCAAGTGAATAACTTGAAAAGGCTGACTTCATTTTCTTTCTGAAGCTCCATCCGTGGCAGAAGTGAGGCATGAGATGGACTTTTAATCTTTCCTTTCATTACAGAGCCATATGTGATTAACATGGCAGGGCACTCAGAGAAGTCCAGGTTACGCACAGTCATCAGGAATGTTCTGTCTTGTGGTTCTTGATCTTTCCAAAGCACGCAGTTCTGATCCCCTTGCCTACTTCCCTGGAGATGCCCTTCTCAGTGCCGTGAAAAGGCACGTGGGCTCTGCTCGCCTGTGCCATGTGCACATCACAATCAATCAGATCCTCCTGGATGCTAATTACTTGGAGTCCAGTGAGCTTGAGAAAGCTGGTGTTGGCCATGGAAACAGTAGATAACAGATTCATCCCCTCCCACTGCCAAACACAAAGTTTTTTATGGAACCAGAAAAGAAAGTCATAACAGGGGAAAAAATTATTTTACTTTTTCATATCCTAAGTAACTTGAATATTTAGGAAAGAAATGTAAATAGAACTTCATCTCCATAGAATAGTTGCATTATAGAAGGCTGTAAGGACATCTCACATACTCATCTTGACCATTTAGACCAGTCTTTTGTGACACATTTAGTTAGTTAGTTAGTTAGTTAGTTAGTTAGTTAGTTAGTTAGTTAAGTGGATGAGTTAGTTGAAATTTTGAATTTTTCTGTCTGAATTCTGGAAACATTGACATCCATCTTTGTGTCTGGAAGTTTCTTCCGTAGGGCATTTACAAAGAATACTTTTAGAGTGCCTTGGTTTTTGTGTGCAAAAGAAATATGCCTGCCTTGAATCTCAACGTCACTTGAGATAATTCATTCAAACAGGAAGTGTCACCCTAGTGACAAACCAAGCTTCAGCCTTTCATGTCTACTTAGAACTCAGACCTGTGGAGCAGGTGGCTAGGGACCAGCCTGCTCACCAAGGCTGGTGGGAAGCTGCGGGGAGGGGGGGAGCGGAGCACAATAGCCATCCTCCCGGCCCTGAAGTTACAGGAGCGCATGTCAGCAGAGCTCGGCTGTCTGGCCACACTACACATTTCCTTTCCATTCAAATAGAGCAGAACTCTAAGTGATCAGATAGTCTCCACAGCACAATCAAAACTGCTGGGGCTGCTCCTGGCAACACAGACTGGAAGCTGGGTGTGGTACCTCACACCTGTAATTCCCAGCACAGGGCCGGGGCAATATGGGGGTGCTGGTGAGATGAGGCAGGAGAATTGCCACAAGTTTGAGGCCAGCCTAAGCTATATCGTGGGTTTCAGCCCCACTCCCTCACCAAAAAAAAAAAGGCAACCCTATCCCCCCAAATCAACCAAAAGGCTATTTTTTGAAAAATCAGATAATAGTGTTTTCCTGGGAAAATTAAAGTTAGCGTGCTTTCTCTTTATATAGCTCCGTTTTACGACAGAGGCCCTGACAAACAGCCCTCCACTGTAGCTCAGCTGACCTTGTCATCCGCTAACGTCCCTCTGGGAACGGTCATTTTCCATGTCCTCCACTGTCACCGGTTTCTGAGAACCACATCACAGACTAGCAGTGCCTGAGTGGCTGTGGACGGGGTGGGTCCAGTTACACCGTACAGCGTTGATCCCTTTAACTCCCTGTCAGGTGGAGATGCAGTGGGCTGAGAATCGGGAGGTGGGAAAAGCCCAGAGGGACGTGAATGCTGCTTTTTGTCAGCACTCTGACATGATGATGAGCCTGGAAAGTGTTCTTTGTCATCCCTAAAGGAAGCGTGTTCTCTGCTTGATGATACAACACACATTTCCTTGCACTCAGTTCTCAATCACTACCTGTTGAACTGAAATGGGGACCCAGTGTACTCCATCCTGGGAAAGAAGGAAGCTGTGGTCCCTGCCCAACAGAGCGGTCAGTCCAAGAAGTTGGAGGCAGTCGCGGTGGTTAGGAAATCTTGGCCCCATTGTGAAGGACATGAGAGAGACGCTATAGCTTAACTTAGACGGCACCCGACTGCTGTGTGTGCTAATCATGCATGCTTCATTCATGCTGGGGGAAAGAGCAAGGAACCAGGTCTGTAGAGTGTGAGGGTGGTGGTGGCCTTGGCTGTACATCCCGAAGTATCTGTCAGTTCTGGTTCTGACCGTTGTTGTCAAGTCTAGTGACCCTCACAAAGGCGTTCAATCTTTCTGTGCTCCTGTCCTCTCAACTATAAGAAGAAAGTTAGGTTTTAGTCACATGGTGGTTCTAAGAGCTAATAAAGCCGTATCACGAGATCACCCACGTCAGGATTAGGAAGGCATAAATGTGTGTTGGGTAGCAGGTGAATGCAAGATGTAATCCAGTTTTATTTTTATAGAGCATTTGGGTTGATGTTCTTTCCCGTTAGTTGATGGGTATCAGTATTGTGTGGCTACAGCCAGTTGCCCTTCCTTGTAGGTTTAGGAGAATGAGTAAATGGTACAATTCCAGGAAAGTAGTATGTCTTCCTAACTAGTTTTGGGGGGGTGGTGAGGGCAGCGTATCATGCAAAGTCTCTCTGTGTAGCCTTAACCTGAAGCTTCAGGATAGATTAAGCTGGCTTTGAACTTGAGGACATTCTCCTGATTGTCTGCCTCTCAGTGCCATTTATAGGTGTGCCAAATATAGTTAAAAAATTCACTATATTTTCACTAATAAGATCATTCGTTTGAGCACACCTTTAATCCCAGCACTCGAGAGGCAGAGGCAGGCAGGTCTCTGTGAGTTTGAGGCCAGCCCGGTCTACAGATTGAGTTCCAGGACAGCTAGAGCAGTTACACAGAGAAACCTTGTCTTGAAAAACAAAAACAAAACAAAACAAAAAAATTAGTTTGAAGTTAGTATTCCTTGTAGTCCTGATCATATAATTCGTCATGCCCTGGAACTTGAAAGGATTGCCTCTGCCTCCTGAGTATCTGGGACTGTGGTCCTGTCCCACCAGACCCAGCCATATGTAATCACATTGATATGTGTGCATAAAAATGTGCCTTTTGCTCCTCACAATTAGGGCTCCTGTAGTTGTCTGCCTTTGTTCCCTCCACATCGATCAACTAGAAGTGTACCTGGAAGGTTTGAGCATGTCGTGGATTTGCTTTTATGTTTTTAAATGCGATCGTAATTGCTTTCTGCCAGCAAACGTGGAAAGAGCCACAGAGTGAAGATCTATAAAAATGTGCAGTCTTTAAATGCGTGTCTGTCTGTGTGCCACGTGTGTGCACATGGCTGTGGAAGCCAGCGGAGGGTCTCAGATCCCCTTGAGCTAAGGTAGTTTGTGAGCCGCTTGTTGTGAGTGCCGGGAACCGAACTCAGGTTCTGGAAGAGCAAGTGCTCGCTCTAACTGCTGAGCCATTTAGCAGCCTCCCCCCTCCACTACCACCCCCGCAGGATATAATCTTTTTGGGATACACTGAAGTGCACATATTTAAGAAGTATACTTCAGTCGTGTTTATCATTGTGCACGTGGAATTTAACTGACTAAATGCTTTTGAGTTTAGACTGTTTGCAGCATACCTTATATTTCACCGTATATTCTTAGGTAAGGCAGAGGCAGCCAACACCTACTTAGGGCCTTTGCTTAGACTAAACACATCTCCTTGTCCATTTTTTTTTTTTTTTTTTTTTCGAGACAGGGTTTCTCTGTGTAGCTTTGCGCCTTTCCTGGAACTCACTTGGTAGTCCAGGCTGGCCTCGAACTCACAGAGATCCGCCTGGCTCTGCCTCCCGAGTGCTGGGATTAAAGGCGTGCGCCACCACCGCCCGGCCATTTTTTTTTTTTTTAATACAACGACAGGTTGGCCTTAACCCCAGTAAATGCCTGAAGATGACCTTGACCTCCACCTCCCAAGTGCTGAGGTAACTGGTATTCACCACCATGGCCAAGTTTCTTGGAGTGCTGGGCATTGCATCCTCTGCCAACAGAGCTATGTCCCTGACCCTCAGTTCAGTTTTGAGCGGATTGTGTGTGGACTCCAGAACTCTGAAGTAAACCAGCTTCCTGAATTTCAACCCGAGGAGGCTTTGATTCTGTGGGATCTGAACTAGGATTTAGCTCTGAACTGTGTGTACAGATGTGAGGATAGTGCATGTGCACACGTAAGTGCATGTGGAGGCCAGATGTTAACCTCAGGTGGACACACACACACACACACACACACACACACACACACACACAGAGGCATGCACGTCTTTCAATGGGACCTACAGCTTTCCAATCTTTCTGACTCTACTTCCCCATGGATTACAGCATGGTGCACCAAGCCCAACTTCCTGTGTAGATGCCAGATATTGAACCCAGGTCCTTTTGCCCATGGGCTAAGCGCTTTACTGACCAAGCTGTCTCCCCTGGCCGTTACCTCTGAATTTTT